ATTGTGATTGATATTCATTCGCCTTCATCAATTCATTCAATTCAGTCATGCTAAAAACTTACCCTAACCCAAAAATTGATCCTAATTGTCTTCTATGGGGATCTAGAAGGGACATGGTTTCATTGAAGCAGTAGGTTCTACATGTTAGACGAAAACGTTCTTTGTCAGAATGAGTGACTGAATATTATTATCCTGAGTAAATATTACTTTTGTTATTAATTATTTTATTATTAATTACAATACTGTCAACTCTCCATGAGGGCTTTTCAGAGACAATAAAAATGATAAAGATAATTAAAAAAATACTCAAATATTATCGATAAACAATTATTGAAAAACTATTTAGATATATTTACATATAAAATTTATGACATTAAAAATTGATTTAAGAGGAAGGCTTTCATTTTACGTTTAAAAAATTTATTTTATTATTAATTAAATACATCTCATGAAAGCGCAAAACATCTACTTAATTCACACAAAAATACAATCAGTTAGATATATAATCATTTTTTTCTTAAATGATAAGCCAAATTTAATGAATACAAAGCCTACTATTAGTGGTGTTATTGTGTAGGCTTCTAGCCTACACGACTTCTACTGTTCGTGACATTTGTACATTTGCCATTCTCTGTTCGGTCACTCGACCTTTTTGTTGCTTCACTCGTGTTTATGAAGGGCACTTCATGTTGTGTTATAAGGAGGAATTTTATTAGAGTTGAGCCGGAAGACCGTGCTATGGCAAAATTTTTAGAGGTCATAGGTCTGCATGATTTCCGCTGTTATCTGCATGTCCGGGTCTGCATGTCGCTTCTTCAATGACACCTTTGTAATTTGCCATACATTTTTAGGCTCATTTCTATTGCAAGATATGTTTTTTAGTCTCTAAGTATTTCCCTTTGTGGGACAAAATATGAAATTTACCGTGAAAGTGTTGCTTACTAAGTTACTTGCTTTCTATATTGTGACACCGGACCCGGCTGTGATTATAGAGGGGAAGCAAGGTGGGGTCTTGTCACGAAGTCACGATAGCAAATTTTCGATTTCACGAATCACGAAACAAAAAATTCACTTTTCACGATTCTCGAACATGTGCACGAAAC